CCCCCCCCCCCCCCCCCCCCCCCCGACTTCAACAACGTCTTAAATCCAGAAAACAAGGCGCCCTCTTAGGTAAAGAAGCCAAATCCTGTTGGCCTGATTGACTCCCAAGAGTCCCTCACCAGCCATTGAGAGTATTAGCCCAGCAGAACCTGGGCTGAATTGATCCTCCTGCCAAAGGATGTTGTTAACCCATTCTAAGGAAGTGGTAAACTGAGGCACAGGACGGGTCAAAGCGCATTGGGCTCACCAGTGAGAGGCAGCACGAGAGCCCAGCATACCCGATGCCTACCTAGTAGGTTCAGCAGTCTCCCTAAGGTCCCCAGCAGCTGGGACCAAATCTTTCATTTCACTGGGACTGTTCTGGTCAGGAAAACCAGCCGGATTTACCCCTGGACAGTCTCGCCCAGTCCCCCCGGCCCCCTTCCCTCCAACATCTGTCATATGAGATTCAGACCTTGGCTAAAAGTGCATCCCAGTGACATGGCTTTAAAGGCACCTCTTCTGCCAAGCTGGAGACAGCTCTGCTCCTCGAAGCCAGCCCCAAGCTGCTGAGTACAAGCCCCTAGAAACCGCACACCCGGGGAGCGGGTCTCGCTAGAAAAACCTCAGCCGAAGTGGGCTGATGGAAAGGTGTGTGGCTAGTGCTGCTGCTCCTGTCGCTTCCTACTTATATCGGAGGACCAACACCCCCAGCTGTGCAGGGGACTAGGGCCCGAAGCGCTCAAGAGTTCAACTTCTGCACACACTCGTGCACGCTCCCAAGCCAAAGTTTTGGCAGCTGAGTACGAGCAGGAGCAGTTTCACGGATTCAGCCCCCACGAAACTCCCCGGGAGTCTTTTCATTGACTTGGGAGCTTTGAATTAGCCCCTCGGTGGGTTTATCTACGGGGTGAAGGAAAAGCCTGGGAGCAGCAGCCTGCCCTCCCTGCTCTGGCAAGGACAAATCCCCCGGATTTCAGTGGGAGAGGTCCCTAGCCCAGCAATGAGGACAGCTCTCGACCTGCCTGGACATTTCTAAATTGCAAAAACATGGCATGGATTTGAAACCTAATTGATTTCCCCATAATCTAATATTTGGCGACTGGTAGCAGGCATCCATTACTGATTATTATTAACTTTGTTGAACAATCTCTCCCCGTAAATACATAATTCAGCCTCCTGCTCTCAAAGTATCGCTAAAGTATAACTTAATTGCAAGGCATTATCCAGTCTTTTTGCACTTCCCCAGACTACTTTTGTTGGCTGGGCACCTTTGACGTTTATCTGATAATTGAGTTATTAAAAGATTGGGTTTCTTCGGGATCATAAATCAATAAACAGGAGGATTAACGTGACAGCTTTGCTTTTAACTCAAGGGAAATGTTTAAGGAGAGACCTCGAAAAGTTTGTTTTCAAACCAAACAGGTGGGTTGCTGTAATTTTTATTTCACCTCCCATGATTTGAAAATATAATCAGATCTAGATGAGCGGCTCAAGTGAAGCCTGTGGCGTCTTTGCTTGTCATTTCCCTACGATTATTGGGGGAATAACAAGCTTTGCTGCTTGCTATGCCCTCAAAAGGCAAAGGAAACAAGAAGCCAGTATATTTGTCCTAAGTTATGCATGGGGAATCTTTAAGGTTTGTAATGAATACTGTCCCACATCATGCCAGGAAAAGTTTCCATTGGACTCAGCATAGAGTTTGACTTTAACATGAGAAGATTTTAAAGACCGGAGATTAGCTAGAAGGTAATGCCTACCTATGTGCCTATACTTTTTTTTTTTAAAGAAATAAATTCAGAATAAATTCTATAACATAAATTCCTGGATATCGTTTGAAGTCGTAAAATATGCCCAGATATTTTAAAAAAGACAACATCAGCCTGGTAATCTTTTCTAAACGGTATTAGTTTTCCCCTTTTAAGCTCACACTGAAAGAAACCAAAAATCCTCACTTTGACACATTCATGCTCACGACAGCCTGACACCAACGTGGCCAGATCTATATTTAAAAAAAAAAGCAATTTTCTGTTACCTTGTGTTCCAGCAAAATACACTTTCCGATTAAACCTAGGAAAGGGACACTCACAGGGCTGGAGTTTTCTTACATAAAAGGTAAAAAAAGAAACGATTAAAACCCCTCACTTAGATGGGACTGAAGAGCCTGAATATTGTGTGCCAAATAAAAGCTAGCAAAAAAAAAAAAAAAATAGCGGTAAAAAAAGAAAAAAAGAAAGAAAAGGAAAATAAAAACAGAAGCGGTGCAAATTTACACCATCTTCCTGTCTATGCCAAAACTGATTCCTCTTCACCACCTCCTCTTGAATAGTCTTACCATGCAGTGAGAAATATCAGTTAATCGACTCTTCCTAAGAAGAAATGCGGAGAGGCATTCAATGTTGAGTTTGTATATATTTATTTATGCTTAATTTAATGGGAATGTGTAAATATGGCGAGCAAGTAGTTTTTGGGTTATTTATCTGTGAATCTATACCTCTGTGAATGGGTGGGGGAATTTAAAAAGAAAAAAAAAAAGAAAAAAAAAGCTTGACTCTAGATAGTATCCTATCGGAATTTTTTTTTTCTGTTCTTTATAGACAAGCTGTTATGGTAATGGGTAGAAATCGGTTTCTTGTCCAGTGATGACCTGATTTACATAAATAATAATAAGAATAAAAAAAAAAAGATTGTTGTGTTTTGTTGTATTTTCCTCTTCAGTTTTTTTTGAATGTTGGTGCTGCTTCAATTCTGCAGACGGATTTACTTATAAACGCCAAGAAGTCTTTATTTTCCCCATCTAGGCTTTTGGGGAAATTCAGGACATGTCTTTACATTGAAAAGAAAAAAAAAATGACAATAAATATTGCTTCTCAGAAATGTTGGCATTTGATTTCTGTCTGACGCCGAGGTGTCCATAATTTTGCCATCTCGACCTCCTCTTTCTAAACAGATTTCTAATAAACCTCATGTCATGTTACCGTGATCTTTTCTCTTTCATTTTGCCTTTCCTAGCTAGATGAAGGTGGGTTGGGGAGGAGGGGGGGATCTTTTTTTTTCCCCCCTTCCCATCTCCCATGCATGAAACGAAGTGTCCTGTAAGACGACAAGCAAGAACAGGAAGCGTTTTGTGCTTGCACGCTTCAATTATGTATACCCCCCCGCCCTTGCTCCGTGGATACCTCGAGAGGATCCAGGCCGGATTAGCCGCCGCTCCCGCGGCTGCAGCGCCGGGAGCGAACGGGCAGGAACGAGCGCTTGAGCGCAGCAAATCGTCCCTGAAACGGAGTCACGCCGGAGTGACGCCGGATCTACCCGCGGAAGGGAGGGGCAGGGCGTGAATCCCCCGCCTCCCCCCACTTCGGCCTCTTTTGCTCGGAAGAGACTGGCGTTTACACCACTGCAGATCCTCGGCGTGCTAGCTCCCAGGCTTTCATAGTGCTTAGGGACCCAACCACATCCTCAGGGCCGACCCCCTGCCCAGGCTTAGGTCCCTTCCGTGAACGGGAGGGGTTTCTTTTGCACCAGACGCAACCTCCCACCCCACGCTGAGACTCCAGGGATAGAAAGCAGCGGATAGATCAGGATCCGTCCCACCCCCCCTCCAAGCGCTGCTGGAACAGGCGCAGCCAAACAAGGGCTGCAGTCAACTGTGACCTACTTTTAGTGACGAGGAGAGAGGCTAAAAGTGGGCGAATGGCAAGGAGCTGAAAAGCCCCCAGGCAGCCCATGGGGGGGCCGGAGCAGGGATGCCACGGGCTGTGCTGGGGACACCCCAACTGCGGCAGGAAAAGCCACCCAGAAGGGGCCAGGGGAGGGTCGCAGCCAGTCTGCTCCGATACGAGCTGTTGTCGCTGCTTGTGCCAGGAGCTGGTGGAGCTCCAGAGAGGCCTGGTGGGGTGGGAGAAGGAAAGGGGGGGGGTCCTGATCTCCAGCCAGGGGGCAACAGCGGTGTAGGAAGCTCTTTTGTAGGGTCACTCATGATCTCTGCAGAAATGGAGGGGTGGGCTCTGGGAAAAGCCCCATAAACCTTCCCCAGTAGACCCATGACAAGCAGATGGGGGGGGGGGACTCAGGATCGGGCCCTGCAGTGTTCCTCCCCAAATGAAAACCTCCCCCCCCCCCGGTGTCTATGGACTCACCAGCTGGTGGAGGGTTTAAATAGCAGGGAAGGGGCATGCCTAGCACGAGAACATTGCATTTTACCTCTGGCTTCCATCCAGCCTCTGCTAGCCCGGCTGTCTGTCTGCTTAAAAAAAAACACCCAAAAAACAACAACAAAAAAACCCCAACCCCGGCGACATAAAGTATCCGTCCTAAACTTCCTACCACTGTTCTGGTTTTATAATCTGCTTTCCCACTCATGACCCGGGGGCCCTTTTCCTTTCTCTCCCTCGCCTCAGTCTCTGTTCTCAACTCTTGCTAGCTCTATTTTCTATTACAAAACTTCACATTGATTTATATAGTCATAAACATCATTTTTGTCTTTCATCCCTTTGGGGTGAACCCCCCCCCCCCCCCCCATCTATGTTCCCCACATTTATAGAGACCTCATAAATAACAGCTGCTGTCCCTTTGATGGAGCCACTCAAATGTCTGAAATAATCCGGAGTGCAAATGTATTCATTGGCTTCATTTGTTTTCCGCCTCTCCTACAGAGACCGATGGCCTTTGTACGGATGGGCAGGTGGATCGACAGATCCGAGACATTGCAGATCTGATGGTTTCACAGAAAATGCGGCGTGCTTTGCTGCTGTCTGTCCGATATTTAAGCCCGTTCAACGTGCCCGACTCAAATACTGACACGGCTGGGGAAGGAGGCATTTACTCTTTTCTGTCTTATTTATTCGTCTTGAAGCTCTTAAAATAAACCTCATCTGGAGACTTCAGATGGAAAATTTGTTCTCGCTAGTCTTGTAGTATGCAAAAAAAAAACAAAACCCCAAAACCCCCAAACAAACAAAAAACCCCCCACC